GGCCAAAGTGTAGGAGAAAGCCTTTGGGTTCTCATTCCACCGCTGGATTTCTTGTGCCCCTCCCTACCTCAGTGCCTAAAGCTCGGAGTTGTAGCTGTTCTTCATCTGTAGTGATATACACAGTTCTACTAAATTAGGTGAATGGGTTTTTGTTTTTGTGCTTTGACCTGAGACTTGTCAATTAGGCTAGGAATGCTGGACACAGAGCCCCAGGCAGCCACCTGTCTCTGTCTGTCTAGTGCTGGGATTGCAAGTATAGACCAACATACTCCCCCCCATCCCGCCCCCAGACAGGGTTTCTCTGTGTAGCCTTAGTTGTCCTAGACTTGCTTTGTAAACCAGTCTGGCCTCAAACTCACAGAGATTCACCTGTGCTGGAGCATGCTTGGCTTGGCTTTTTCTTCTTTAACATGAATCTGAGAATCAAACTCAGGTTTTCATGAGCACTATGGCAATGGATCATTATGAAATAAAGTTAGAGTTTATTAAGAGTCGGCTTTACAAGTTGGGCACAGTGGTGCATGCATGCCTATAATCCCAGCACTTGGGGAGGCAGAGGCAGAGGCAATCGGATCTCTGTGAGTTTGAGACCAGCCTGGGCTACAAAGAGAGTCCAGGACAGCCGAGACTACAAAGAGAAACTCTGTCTCAAAAACCAAAACACAAACAACAAACAAACAAACCGACTTTACAAGCCTGGCAGTGGCACAAGCCTGTAATCTCAGCACTCAAGGATGCAGAGGCAGGTGGATCTCTGTGGGTTCTAGGCCAGCCTGGTCTATAGAGTATCATGACAGCCAAGGCTACACAGAAAAACCCTGTCTCAGAAAACAAACAAAACAAAAATGAATTGCCTTTACAGCCAGGCATATATAGGGATGCACGACTTTAATCCCAGCATTCAGGAGTTAGAGGTGGATCTCTGAGTTCAAGGACAGCCTGCTCTACAAATAGAGTTCCAGGCATGCCAGGGCTACATCGTGGGACCCTGTCTCAATAAACAAACAAACAAACAAACAAACAGATTTAAGCCCAGGGATTAATATAAAAGCATTCCGGAGAGTAGGATTCTCACGGTAGAACCATGCTTAAGTGTCTCAGCAGAAACCATATACAATTTTAGTAGCTTTGGAAATTATGTTGTCTAAAATGATTCTAAAGAACGTTTTTCTTCCTTTTTCATAAATAAAATCATAGAGTGGTTCTTGAGGTGCATAAGCCTTGGTTAGGATTACAATGTAATATGAAAAATCGTGGGTCACAAGGAAAATAAGACATGGCTTTTACTGTAAATGGAGTGATCTTATAAAATTCTGTTCGTTTTGTTTTGTTTTTTGAAACAGGGTTTCTCTGTGTAGCCCTGGCTGTCCTGAAACTCATTCTGTAGATTAGGTTGGCCTCTATCTCAGAGATCTGCCTGCCTCTGCCTCCCGGGGCGCTGTGATTAAAGGTGTGGACCACCACCAACTAGCCCTAAAATTTCATGTTTACCTATGGGGAGAAGAGCCATACTTTTATATGCTTAGGCCTCAAGCATGGCTTCTTGCACTTTTATTATTTTTATTTGAAGAAAAAAATATTGTCTTCATGTGGATTATCATCACAGCATTAAAAAAAAAATTGAGCTGGGTCCTCTCCACTGTCCCTGAGTACATTAGACCCTAGGCTTCCATTCAGAGCTCAGGCAGAGGAAGCGGAAACAGGCAGAGCAGGATTCGTGGAGGGACAGTCAGGGTTGGAACGCACTGAGAGAGCGTGGGACTTGACCTGAAGGACCACTTTTACTTTCTTTCTTTTTAAGATTTACTTTATGTATGAGTCCTCTATTTCCATGTACACCTGCATGCCAGGAGGCGGCATCAGGTCACATTATAGATAGTTATGAGCTACCATGTGGTTGTCGGGAACTGAACTCAGGACCTCTGGAAGAGCAGACAGTGCTCTTAACTGCTGAGCCACTTCTCCAGCCCGTTTTTTTTTTTTGTTTGTTTGTTTTTTGTTTTTTTGAGACAGGGATTCTCTATGTAGCCCTAATTGTCCTGAAACTCGCCCTGTCAACCTGGCTGGCCTCGAACTCAGAGATTTGTCTGTCTCTGTCTTCTAAGTGCTGGGATTAATGATGGGCACTGCTACACCCAACTTTAAAGTTGGGTTCTGAAGTTTGAGAGGACATGAGTTTGAGTGATCTTCCTCAGTCCACTCTATTGCAAATATAAGAGCTGTGGGTGTTTATACTATGGGGCTTATGTAGCTGGCCCATGACTGACTGCTGTCCAACCAGCACTCTCCAGCCAGCACTCCTCCTTTCAGACATAAAAGGAAAATGTGGAGCTTGTTGAGGACTCAGTGGAGATTTGGGTGAGTTTGGGGTCCCCTTTGCAGATTCAGATAAGCTCTGTAGAAACAGGCATGGCTGGGCAGGACTACTTTCCCAAGATCTCATCTTCCTGAGGACGCCTGGGGAGGACTGAGTTGTCCCTGGTGTGGGAAGCTGGTTGCCTCGTCTCTCATTATCCTTTCTTGCAAGCCTCACTGGCCTGTAAGGTGAACCTCTGTGATGGGTCCACACCCATGCTTGGGTGAGTGGCTAAGTGTTGACGCACACACCTTGGTAGTAGTTACTAAAATCATGACAGCTTTTGACGCTGTGCAGTTCTCAGATGTCCCATCCAGATAGTATGTCTGTTCCTCGTGACTGAACACGTTTAAAGAATTTGTCATGTGCATATATATGTCAGGAGTTATGTGCTACCCTGTATTTGTGGGGCCAGAGAATGGCTTGTAGGTGTCTCCATTCACCGTGGGTCTCAGGCAGCAAATGCAGGTCACTGCCTAGCAACTCATGCCTTCACCTGCTGAGTCCTCTCCCCGGCCAGGCTGTCTTTTGTTGCTTTGTTTGTTTTTTGTGTTTTTATTTTGGGACATGTGTTCTTTGTGTAGCCCCGGCTATCCTGCAACTCCCTCCATAGACCAGGCTGGCCCCGAATTCACAGAGATCTGCCTGCTTCTCCTCAGTGCTGAGATTAAAGGCATGCACCACCACCACTCAGCACTCAGGGTGTCAGGTTTTTTGTTGTTGTCTTGTTTTTGTTTTTTCTTTGTGTAGCCTTGGCTGTCCTGGCCTCTTTGTAGTCCAGGCTGGCCTTGAACTCAGAGAGATCCACCTGTCTCTGCCTCCCCAAGTACTGGGATGACAGGCATGCACTACTGTGCCTGACCAGGGTGTCAGTTTTGATGTTTCATTCCTGTCACCCACTTTGCTCTTTTACTAACATTCAAAACCCAGGCTTGGGGTTTGAGATTAGCTCAGTGGTAGAGCCATTGCCTAGCAAGCACAAGGCTCTGGGTTCAGAATCCAGGCTTGTTTTTATTATTTTTTTTTTAGTCTTATTTTATGTGCCTTAGTGTGACGATGTCAGATCCCTTGGAATTGGCTTTACAGACAGTTGTGAGCTGCCATTTTGGTGCTGGGAATTGAACCCAGGTCCTTTGGAAGGACAGACAGTGCTCTTAACTACAAAGCCATCTCTCCAGCCCCGAACCCAGGCTTGTTATTTGCTTTTTCTTTGTTCACATAATAAATTTCAGCCCTTGTCCTGACCTCCAAGACTAGCTGCAAGAGCTGTAAGGGTGCACATGGAAACAACAGAGGCAGCCAGGCCCTCTGCCCATGAGCTAGCAGAGCCCATGCAGCCCAGCCTTAGGTTCATGTCTCTGCAGTGCTGGAGGGGACAATCTGGTGTCCGTGGGCCATGTCTTGGGTTTCTCATGTGGAACTCTTCCTTGTCCCCACACCCCTTGGGGCCCTTTCTTCCCGATCTGGTCTCTACCTCATGGCCTTATTATTCCTAATGAAGAAACCTGAGGGGTTTGGGTGCCAAGTATGTACCATGATGACACTGTATCTGATCCTATGAGGTGATCCTCAGCTTTATAACCCCCCCACACCCCACCTTTAGAATCCTTCTGTACTTGCTTTCTCAGCACCTTTGAACTCCTGAATGATCTTCTAAGGCTTGATGGACGTTGCCCCAGGTAGTAGATCTCTTTGGACCCATCTGGTTGTCTACTACCACCCTCCAACCTTCCTGGAAAACCAGTGATTCACAGGCACAGTTGAAATTGTAGTACTTTACACTTTCTGTCACTATGAGTCATGTATTAACAAGCTTTCTAACATGGAGTGGAGCTGGGAGAAAGTGGGTTTAGGAACAGAGTGCACATTTGCTCTTGAAGTAGAGGCTGCTGGGCAGATGGTGGGGCATGCTGCCCTGGAGTTCAAGCAAGAGACCTGTGCATGTGGACAGGGCATCCTGGCTCCCACTTACAGGGAGGCTGCCTGTGGCCCTGGTGGAGGCCTGGCTTGCATGTTTTAGGACTTATGGTGGTGTCCCCTGTGGTCATATCAAACAGGGTTTGTGGATCAGGATCCTGTGGGCCTGATGCTGGCTACCAGTGACTGCTGTCTGTGATCCTGTCACAGGGCTTGTCCTTTGTGTGCCTCAGGGCAGTGGCACTGCTCCCAGCTGAACGCTAAAACATTTGTCAGATGCCAAGTATCCGGTTATGCCACCCGAGCCCTGTCTTGCTCTTCCATGGAACAGTCAGGAACAGGCTCTTGGGAGGTGAGGTGGTAGGAGATCAAAGGAGCTGAGAAAGAAGGTACAAAAAGACCCTAAAGATGGAGTCTGCTGGGTACTGGGGATGGGGAGGGGCTAAGTCTTGCAAGTAACCAGGTGTAGGAAGCTCAGATGTCCCCTGTGGAAACCAGGCCTTGGCTCACACAGCTTTCATTTGGGTACCAAGGAGGGAGAGTGGGTACCATTGCATTTCAGTGTGTTGAAACTCCCAGGAAGTATAGTATTCCATCCAGACAGGCAAAGATCAGTGCCACCTTCAATTTGGAGTGACCTGGAACCTGAGTATGCTTTTGTGTCTTGGTTAAAGAATGAAAGCAAATTTCAGTTGTTGCCCCTTTTCAAAAACCCCATCAGATCTGCATGGATGTAGACATATATTTCAACATAGGTACATGAAATTCCAGGGGTCCAGGGGCCTGGGGAAAGTTTCTGTAGGAAAATATAAATATGTTTGAGGACAGAAACTGGGGTATAAACTTAGTGCTAGAGTAACTCCTAGTATGCACGAGGCCCTGGATGCAGTTCCCAGCATCACAACAAAAAAGAAGTTTAAATATGTTTAAACTGGCTGGGTGGGGCCCAGAATGAGGGTGGCACCCTGGAGGCCCATGCTATTAGAAACAAGTGAACTGTGGAGGGACATGAGGGCTTCATGTGGAGGAACTCTGCCGCCTGCTTTTCAGGTCCTTTACCTGAGTGGCCTACAGCTGGCCCACAGCAGGTAGCAGCACCTCTCTGGCTGGCTGTTTCCCAATAGGGTCCCCTATATCCAGGGCATTCTGCTTCTCAGCCCAGAGTTTTACGTGTTTCTTCATCCCAGTGTGTGATCCAGCTGTATCTTCTGCAGCCTGAACCTTCTGGCCTCCAGGACTGGCACTGGCAGACAGCTGGGGTGGAATAGCCCCCTTCCGAAACGCCCTCAGCTGCTGGAGAAGCTGGCTCTTCCCGGTACAGTCCCTGTGACACAGGAAAACCATCTGTGTTTTCCTAAACTCTGCCATCTGAAGGCCAGAACTCCCACACCGAAACAAGGAAGAATGGCATGTGCAGTTTCAGTTCCCATTCCAAAGCAGGGGCATATTCCAACAATGTCTAACAGCCGTTGCAATTTGCTTGGGAAGTACGTGAGATGACAATCCTGGTGGCTTTTTCCCTTTGTAATGGGCATTGTCCTAGCTAGTCGTATGTCAACTTGATGCAAGCTAAAGTTATCTAAAAGGAGGGGAACCTCAATTGAAAAAGTGCCCCCATAAAATCAGGCTGTAAGCATTTTCTTAGTGATTGATGCCGGAGGGCTCAGCCCATTGTGGGTGTTGTTATCCCTGGGTTGATGGTCCTGGGGTCTGTAAGACAGTGGGCTGAGGAAGCCATGAGGAGCGAGTCAGTAAGCAGCGCTCTTCCATGGCCTCTGCATCAGCTCCTGCTTTAGTGCCTGTCCTCACTGCCTTTTTTTTTTTTTTTTCCCCAAAACAGGGTTCTCTCTGTAGTCCAGGCTGGCTTGGAACTCACAGGATCCACCTGCCTCTGCCTCCCCAGTTCTTGGATTAAAGTGGTGTGCCACCAATGCTAAGCTTTGTCCTCACTGCTTTTGACGATCAACTATTATATGGAGCTGTGAGTGAAATAAACCCTTTCCTCCCCAAGTTTGTCATGGTGTTTCTTCAGAGCAATAGCAGCCCTAATTAGGACAAATATCAAGAGCTGGGGGAACACAGTGACTCCCCACCCAACAGGAGAGGCAACTGATTAAACCCAACAGATGGAAGTGTCCAGGAAGCATATGGGCTGGCACAGTGAGACAGGAGGACTGCTGTGAGTTTGAGGCCAACCTAGTTACAGAGTAAGATTCTGTCTTGGAAGAAAGGAAAAAAACAAAACAATAGACGAGATATGTTCTTATGATAAGCATTCTCACAGATGTATGGCTTATTTCCCATCTGCACAGAACATCAAATCCTGGGCCACCACATAGCTGCCACCAATTATGTGCCACAGCACTTCCTGTGTGCTGACTCTGGAGTCCTCTGAGGTGGAAATAACAGTTTTCTCCTATATTTGGATGAAGACATCAAGGCTAGAAGACATGAAGCAATATGCTGAAGGGCCAAGGGCCAGTCTGAGTGCAGCCCAAGTCATCTGGCTAGAGCTGAGCTGTAGCCTTCAGAGGAGGACCTAGGCCTGGTGCTAGCAAGGTAGCTAGCTCCTCAGAGTGGGGGAGAGGAACACACTGACCTTGACTCCCTTTCCTTCAATAAGCACAGCCTTGCCCAGGAGTGTTGTAAGAGGAAAGAGACTTCTATGAGCAGGTACAGAAAAAAAGGGGGGGGGGCTAAATTTTTAGTTGCAGCTCTCCTGGAATGCTGCGACATCACAGGCTGTGGCATTTCCCACCATTTTCCTAGGATATCCACATTCTACAGTGAAGCTCTGTGCATCGCTCTAAGCCTGCGCTCATTCATAGTGCTGCAGGTAGCTATGACCCATAATTCTCACTCACCACAGTCTGAGGCTTCTGGCATGTTTCTGATTGGATGCTGCTCTAACTTGTCAGCTCCTTTCACATTTGGCTAACAGCTGGCCCTACACTTTCTGTACTTCTGATGAGACCACCAGCAGGGGCAATATCAAATTAGGGAGCTGTTATCAAAGGCTGGACTATGCTACTATGGAGTAGCATTCATGATGCCTGGGTAGAACAGGCCTGTCCACACAGGCTTCCTTTATGACAGGTTATAAAACACAATGATACCCACTCCCACCACACCAGATGCTGGCTCATGTATATAGGGGATCCAGGACACAGGGAGGAAGCTTCCCAGGGCAGAGGAAGAGACTCTAGCGTTACCTTTGTTCCCTGGAAGATGCCACCTGAACTGAGCCTGCTGTCTCCACTTCCTCCTCCTCACTGTCAGAGGAGCTGTATTCAGAGCTAGGAGTAAAAAAAAAATAGACTCTCAGGATATTCCCAGACACCTTGCCAGGGCTGCCTCTCACCCAGGGACCTCCCTGGGAAGCCTAGAAGGGTGGAAGCTAGCCAAAGCTAAGGGGCCACTGTGCTTCCTGTCGTGTGCTGAAGGGAAGGTACAATGTGCTCAAGCCAGATGAGCTCTGCCTCCTGCCCCTCCTTCCCAGCTGCAGGCACAGTGCCCAGCTCTGCTTTGTACCTCTCCTGGGACTGTTGTTGTATCTCTGATGGCTCTGTCTGCCGCAGGTCAATGAAGATGGTGGGAGGCTCTGCCTTCAGCCTCCTACTCTCTGCCAGCTTCTGGATGGACTTGGTTTGAAAGCCAGGCTCTGCTGAAGCACTTCTGCAATGGGAGATTCTATGCGATTCCTGCCACCTGATGGGCTGGTCCAGTCAGCTGCTCATGGCAGCTACTCACAGTGTGCCTGCTGTGTGCTGGTGGCCACCTTCGGGACGGGCAGGCACTACCATACGAACTGGCAAGTTTGACATGCTACATATCAGCTAGGCTGGTAGGCAGGCCTGTCATCCCAAGTGTCTGGGAGGCTGAGGCAGGAGGAAGGCAAGTTCAAGGCCAGCCTAGGCAACTTAGCAAGAATTTATACATGAATTTGTTTCTTTTTTGAGACAGGGTTACTTTGTATATCCCTGGCTGTCCTGGAACTTTCTCTACAGACCAGGGTGGCCTCAAACTCACAGGAGATCCACCTGCCTCTGCCTCCAGAGTGCTGGGGTTAAAGGTGTGCACCACTGCTGCCCAGCTTACATATGTCTTTTTAAAAAGATCTTTTGTGTATGAGTGTTTTGCCTGCATGTATGTTTATGCACTATTTGCATGCCTGGTACTTGTGGAGGGTAGAGAGGGCATCAGATCTCCTGGAGCTAGAGCTGCAGATAGTGGGCACTGGGAATCAAACCTGTGTCCCCTAAAGAACATCAGTGCCCTTAACCACTGGACCATCTCTCTGGCCTCTGAGCAAGACTTTAAAGATAAAAACTAAAAAGAAAGAGGGGATGGCACACACCTTTAACCCCAGCACTTGGGAAGCAGAGGCAGGCCTGGTCTACAAAGAGAGTTCCAGGACAGCTGGGATTACACAGAGAAACCACATCTTGAAAAACAAACAAACAAACAAACAAACAAGAACCAGGAAAAAGGAAGACTTGAGATATGGCGCAATGGTGAGAGCGTGTGCCTAGCATATGTGAGGCTCTGGGTTCAGTCCTCATATCGTAAATGTAAATAAATCTGTTCCATTCAGTTGGGGACACTTAGCACAGGTGGCTTGTTTGTATAATCAAACTAATCATTTAACATAGATCCATAAAATTAAATAGTTCTCATCCCATTAGCTACATGTCCAGTGCTGAGGAGTCATGTGGAGCTGCTGGAAAGCACAGGCCTAGCCATATCTGTTCCTTGCGCTAACTAGGCAGAACCCACAACCCAGAAGAAAAGGTCCCAGGCCCCTGAAAACAGCAGAAGAAACAGTGTGGCAGGACAGTCGGGCCTTCAGGGACCCCATCTCCAGCTCTGTCAGCCCCAGCTTCACTCTATCCCTGCTTGCTTTCCTCTATATCCAGCTCTTCCACCTTCCAAACCCATCCTGTTTCACTGGTCATGTGGATAATAAGAGAAAGTATCTATAGCATTAGGAAATTAGACAGGCTTTGGGGCTCAATACACAGCTCTGCCATTGATGGCCTGGGAGGGCATAGTAACCTGAACCTCAGTTTCCCCATCAGGAAAAACAGATAATGCAGCAATTACCTAGTTAGATTCCGTTTCTTAGTCAAAGATAAAGTACATGTTAAGTGCCCCACCAACAGGCCCAATTAGCACTGCCTAAAGGCAGACTGGTTCTAAGGAAATGGCTGTGGCGTGGCTGTGGCTGTTGGGAAGTCTCACCTGCTTCTGGCTTTCTGCTCTTCTGTGTCTTGGAGCTTCTCAGCAGACAACTTCCAGGTAGGGTTTCGGCCTCTGGACTGACTGGCACACAGGAGGGCCAGCTGCTCCAAGAGTGTGTCCTGGGAAAGTGCAGTGGTGTGCCCTAGGGGTTGCCAGGAGAGGGGCTGCTGAGCTTCAGGCTCCCGTGTGTCCCATCCCAGCTCTGATACTTCCAGCTCCCATGGCAAAGTCAGGGGTAGTCATGTCTTCAACAGGGGCTGCTACACTTGAGCCTGGTCACATAGGGTCACAGGTGACCACAGTGAACAGATGTCTGTACCTTTCAAAAAGTAGCAAACAGGCTTATCATACAGATTCTGTGTGTCTGGGAGGGGAGGTACTTGCGATTGAACCCAGGGCCTGTGCATACTACCAAATACTGTCACTGGAGTACAACCCCAGCTTCTTTTATGATTTTTGAGACAGGGTTTCTCTGTGCAGCCTTAGCTGTCCTAGAACTCGCTCTGTAGACCAAGCTGGCCTTGAACTCACAGAGATCAGCCTGTATCTGTCTCCTGTGTGCTGGGGTTACAGGTGTGCACCACTGATGCCCTGCAAACACTACATCATTCTATGAATACTGTTTTGTTTATTATCATGTTGTTCTGCCTGTATGTGGGCCAGCAGCCCAGAAGATAGCACCAGACTCTCCATACATGGTTGTAGCCACCCATGTGGTTGCTGGGAATTGAACTCAGGACCTTTGGAAGAATGGACAGTGCTCTTATCAGCTGAGCTATCTCTCCAGCTCTGGGTTATACATCTTAACAAAATAAAACTAAAAAAAAAAAAAAAAAAGTAATAGCTTGATCAAAGATCCATGAGTATTTAAGAGATTCGGCCCTGCCGTACCACCATCCACAAAGGGTGTTCATTATACATGCCTGCCACCCTTGCAGAGGACCTGCTTTGCCACACCCTGAAGCTCTGCTGAAGCAGGTGTGCTGTCACATGCTCGTTAGTAGCAGCACTTTGATGTCTGAAGCAGAATTGCCAAGAGCACCAGGGCAGCCTGGGTTACAGTGTGAGACCCTGTCTCAAAAACAAAAGCCATGGTGGTAGTGCACACCTTTAGTATCAGCACTTGGGAGACAGAGGCAGGCAGATCTTTGAGTTCAATGCATCACGTTCCAGGTCAGCCAGGGATAAACAGTGAGAACCTGTCTCAAACACAAAACAGAGCTACGGCTGGAGGGATGGTTCAGTGATTAATAGTACTTGCTGCTCTTACAGAGTACTTGGGTTCAGTTCCCAGCACCCACATAGCAGCTCACAACTGTTTCTAACTCCAGTTCCAGGGGATCTTCTGCCCTCTTCTGGTGCATACGCAGATATGCATATGTTGCATATACATACCTGGATATAAGAAAAAAAACTTAATAAAAATGTCTTGCTTCAAACAGCCAAGAGGCTCAATTTAGTGGAGTCTTTGTTCTGGATTAGACACTGATTCCTAGCCCCTGTCATTGCTCACCAGCTCAGATGTGCTCCCATCTGTTCCTGGAGGCCTGTGTGGGTGGGAGAACATGGGGAATGTTTGTCTTTTACAGAGCTGCTCAGAGCAAGGCCATGAGCACAGGTAGAATATGACATCCTCTACTGTCACTTTCAAATAGGATGAGGGATGCAGGAGTGTGAAAGTTGCCTGAAGGGGAGAAAGAGGCAGGTTCTGCTTTACCCTAGAAAAGGAAGGAGAAAAGGAAGGAAGCTGCAGGAAGAGAAAGAATATAACCTAGGGCAGGTCAAATTTGAAGGCTTCAACACACTTGGCAGAGCAGGCAGCCTCATGTATAATGAATGTGTGCTGACGGCGGTAACTAACGGGCTGACAGGCCCTGCCCATCCTAGAGCCCTGCCACCGAGAGGCTTGGAAGGAGGTGCTTGTGGAGATTAGCGTGGGCTTTAGGGTGAGAGGTCAGACCTTGATCTTGCCAGCGGTCGGCTAGCCACCATGCAGTTCTAGGTTCACTGTCTCCCTGGCTGTCTTGCCGCCCTGGCAGGCTCTGAAGGATGTAATCCAAATCCCAGCCTTCAAGATACTGAAATGACAAAACTGGTGATTACACGGCTGCAGAAGGTCCTTCAAAAGGAGACCCCACTTAGACTGCAGCTGCAGCCAGTGGAGGGTATTATGAGCCATCTACTGTAGTGATTCAGGCCAACAGGAAATAGTTTAGCTTGGGACCCCCCCACACTTGGTTTTGGGTTACCCACATTCCCACTGTCACAATGCATTCGGCAGTGTAGTCCCTTCATCTGCATGTACTACACAAACCCCTTTAAACACTACAGCTAGCAACCTCAGAACTCCCTTGACACATGACCTGCATCAAGCTACATGTACGCCCATCTCTCTGGACTACGGTATAAATATTCTCCCCCAACTCCGTACAATCAAATTTAGACAAGTTTCTATTCAGGTGTGTTCCCAGTCTACCCAGTTATGAAGGTGAGCGGTTCTCTTGCCTGAACTTGTTTTGGGTGTAAAGGCAGTAAGGAAAAACTGTGTCTCTAGTAATCTTTAGGGAGAGTCTTTACTGTAATCTTGTGCCTGTGCATAACCGGGCATTCAGGTGATTAAAATCCAATGCATTATGGGAAGGAAACATTTGCAACAGAAAAAAATGAATATATGACCTAATCAATCAAAATACAGAACCACCCAAATTATGCCCTTAGTGGCTAGTCCCTCCTTTAGACCCCATAAAATGAAACCCTGTCAATCTTGACAGAATGTCTCTTTATTCTGTTGTCATCTAGCTCCAATAAAGTTATCTTGCTTCAAAAGATAATTTGATAGCTTTGCACATCTGTGTGATCTCTGTGAGCCCTTGTTTTCAGTTCTTTGGATAACAGGCCAAGAACCTGAAAGCACCCAGCCCAAACTCCAACCACCATAACAACAAAGTGATGCTTGGAGTTTGGGTACATCTAGCAAATGAATGTACTGTCTGTTGTGATTGATGACACACTGATGATGACCCCTGACACCTCCTTTCTTAAGCTTTTGTTTTGTTTTGGTCAATACATTTGGGCATAATTATAGCTAACCTGGAGGAACCCCCCCTTTTTTTTTTCAGACAAGATCTCATTATAGCCCAGACTGGCCTTCAACTCTACATAGCCAAGGATGACCTTGAATGTATGATCCTCCTACCTTCACCTCCTAATCTCTTGAATTACAGGCGTACACCACCACACCCATTCAATGCATGCAAAGTAAGTACTCTGGCACGGAGGCACATCCTGGCCTTCTCCACTATGTAATTTTGTTTGTTTGTATTTTTTGAGACAGGGTTTCTTTGTGTAATAGCCTTGGTTATCCTGAAATTTGCTCTGTAGACCAGGCTGGCCTCAAACTCAGAGATCCACCTGCCTTTGTCTCCTGAGTGCTGGGATCAAAGGCATGTATGACTACACCCACATCACCATGTAAAATTTAGACTGTCTGGATTTGTACAATTTAGGATATTTAAAAAGTTTTACAACTTTAAGAACCTGGTGGTTCAAGCAGGTGCTGAAGCTGGAGAGCTTGGCCCAGATGAGTTTGCAAGCATGAGTATGATGAAGGAAGGCCCCTACAGTGAACACTTACGTGAAACCTTTCAAATTCAAACCTGCAGCTTCAGGAAGTGAGGAAGAATTAAAGTTGGGGGGTTAACAGAATGAAACTGGTGGCTTACGTGAACAGCAATGAAGAACTCTGTCTGTGTGCTTACGTTCTGTAAAATGTTAAAGCTTCTCACTCATATGTTTAGCGTGGCCTTTCCATGCCCGGCTAGAGCATCTTCCACTGTCTCCCTGCACAGCTAACCAGAGTACTCTCCTCAGCCTTTGGAAACTGGGCTAGTATGGTGGTTTTCGCTCCTGTCCAGTGGGCGGGGTAACCTCATTGGTCACAGATGTGCTCTCTAAAGACTGCCCAAACGCCATAGTGGGAAAGAGCTCCACCATGGAGGGACACAGAGCTACTGCTGCAGTTTTCAGATCTGCCTTCCCAGTAGTCCTCACACTCCTTTCTCTTCTGCAGTTGCTCACAGGATTGCCTCTCCTAATCCCAGCTTGACTCCCTGCCGGTTCTCACTGATGTATTAGTGTGACTGGACAGCCGCTCCTAGTGAATGACGTCTGTCCACCAAAGACCTCACTTCTGCAGCACTGCTTGTCTTAGCATGACTGATAATCAGCATGCACGCCTGAGGTCATTTCTGCATTCTCTCTAATGAGGCTGGAGTTGGTGTCTCTTCCTATTGTCAGCAGTTCTGCTTGAGGGTGAGCTCTATGCCAGGCTCCCTAAACACTGTGACAGGAGCAGCTTCTTGCTGGCTGCTGGACCTGGGATCTGGGGCTTAGGTCCTAGAGGAGTTCGTTCCAACTTCAACAGTGTGGCAAGAATGTGGCCAAGCTGCAGGGGACTGGCCTGAGGGAAGGCTGGGCCTTGGAGATACCTACCTGGAGTGAGAGTACTGGCCTTCCTTCCTGAGACTGCTCTGAGGTCGCTTCCGGCCACGGTCCTGACTTTGCAGCCTGGCGTTGGTCACCAGAGGCTGGGCTCAGGGCAGCCTGGGTCACTTTCTGAAGGATATCTCTCTCTATCATCTTCCTCCTCTCCTTGCGGAGGGCTCTGCGCTTTGCAGAGTTTCTAAAATCCGTATTTGAGCGCTCTGTCTTCAGCTCTCCTTCCAAAGGAAAGGTGGCTTCTTTTCCCTGGGATGGCCATGGAGGACTCTGGGACCCTTTCGGGTTAGGCAGACTTCTAAGGTTGCCTTCCAGCCACGGGAGTACCTCCTCAGCATCCACAACAATAGGGCTGCTCTTGACACAGCTCTGGCAAGACCAGCCAGAGACTCTTCTTTCCAGAGCAGCCAAGTCCTTCTGTCTTACCTTCTGTTCACTTCTGGGTTCTATGGCTAGTCTCTCAGGAACCAGAAGTGGCTAGAGAAAAAAAGGCACCCACTGTGAGCATCTGCAAAGATATACTTTAGGGAAAAAGAGTGAGTGTATATGCATGACTAAGTGGAGGTCAGAGGGGAACTTTGAGAGTCAGTTCTCTCCTACTCTGTGGGTCCCAAGTATGGAACTCAGGCTCTCAGACTGAGCAGCAAGCACCTTTCCCACCAAGCCATCTCACTGGCCCTGTTTTGAAACACCCCCCCCTTTTTTTTTTTTTTCATTACATGGTCTTACTATATAGCTCTGGCTATCCTGAAACTAGCTCTGTAGACCAGGCTGGCCCTGAACTCGGACATCTGCCTTCCTCTGTCTCCAGAGTGCTGGGATGAAAGGATGAACTACCACTGCCAGGTCTCATTTTTCCCCTTTTGAGTTCAATAATTTGTCAGTCATATAGCCATTGCCACTATTTCTACTGCTGCCACTGTTCCACTCCCCACCGGCCCTCTCCCAGAGGAGCTGGTAGTCTTTACAGAAAAGAAAACATCTCATAAAAATCACGTTGTTGGGTGATGGTAGTGCACACCTTTAATCCTAGCATTGGGAAGGCAGAGGCAGGCAGATCTCTGTGAGTTTGAGGCCAGCCTGGTCTACAAATTGAGTCCAGGACAGCCAGGGCTACACAGAGAAACCCTGCCTCAAATAACAAAAAACAAAAGGTCACTTGAACTGACCAGAGTCCTCACTGCCGTTCAGATTCTCCTGGTGGGGTGCAAGGGATGTTATTTTACACTTGTTTCTCTGAGGCTGGGCTTCAGGCAATGGATGTAGTGGGGATGGGTCAGATGATCCTCTGCAGCCCTTGCACACCCAGTCTGCCTCAATGATGCTAGGAAGAACTAGCATCATTGTTAGTTGAGGGGGTTTACCCAGAGCCGACCTGGTCTTAAAAATGGGGTTTGGCCTCTACAGTGTTTTCATTGGAGAGTATGTTTAGCCACAGCTACATCAAGAGTTAACAGGCTTGGCAGGCTAGGGTTGCCAAGGATTAAAGCCTCAGATGTGATCTATTCAGGCAGCAGTTTATTCTCATCATCAAGCCACTGATGTTTTGGAGTTTTGGTTTTATTTGTTTTTCTGAGGCAGGGTTTCTCAGTGTAGCCATGGCTGTCCTGAAACTCCCTCTATAAATTAGGCTGGCTTTAACTCAAGAGATTTGCCTTCCTCTGCCTCCTGACTACTGGGATTAAGGGCATGCAACACCACCTGCCAATATTATTTGTAATTATATATATATATACATGATATATGTGTGTGTGTGTGTATTTATGTGCACCATGTGTGTGCTGGAGCCCACAGAGTCCAAAAGAAGGACATCTGATTTGCTGGAATTGGAGTTACAGGTGGGAGGGAGAGACAAGACCAGCATTTTTAACCATTTAGACCTACGCTGCTGGTGGAATCCTTGGACGACTTGGGACCCCTCCTCCCCTTAGTAGGTCCTCAAAGCCTGTGTCCCACAGACCTCAGGTGAAGAACTCCCTACAGCAAACCAGATTCCAGACTCATCAACACCAATAGGGTCTTCAGCCAGCTCCTCAGCCAGGTCTGGAATCAGGAGGGGCTGGTTTCGCTGAAAGATGAAGGGCTCTTCTTCTTCACCGTCAGACTGCAGACAGACCACATAGGACACTTTAGAGGAGAAGGCAGTCATGCTTTGCCCACCCTGCCCAGGAGCATCTGGGAAGACAAGTTCTTTAAAAGGTTCCTTTTTCACAGGCCACGAGCAAGCCCTGTACCCAGCAGACACTGCATTAATGCTGGTGCTGAATAATGGTCGCGGAGGGGCAGCTGAGAGTGGAAACTAGCTCACTTTTATACTGACTTGTCACTTAGCACAGGAGCTTTGGTCAACTGACTCCAGTGTAGAGGTTAGCCTGACACCTTCCAGGGACTTCAGAAGGCAATGACAGCACTAGGGTACTGCGGCACTGGCACTGTCTGCCTCTTTTGCCTCATCATGTACTTGATGATGCTTGAGTTTCAGCTCCATCATTTTCATCTTTGCAAATGGCCAGGTAGGGCAAAAACCACGTCTCTTGCTTCTAAAACCTTTGTTCCTCACTCTAAATGTCCTATGCCAACCTGTGTGCTGAGCCTCTGACCAGTGGATCACTTGTGTAAATGGCTACTGGTACTGTCAGTGACCCCAAAATCACTTCAAGTGGCCAAATCCCTCCAGGACTGCACTGTGTGGCCCTGGCAAGGTATTTACTCTCAGAGGTTGGTGCTGTTTCTAACCTGACCCAATACAGTTGAGAGCAGCATAAAAGCAGGGCGGGAAGACCGGGGCTTTGGCATTGAGCCCACCTAGGGGTCAGGACCACTGCAGGGGTAGCTTTGAGAATACAGAACACCAACATCCATACTCAAGAGTTCTGGCAAACACAGAAAGAAGCCTGACGGAATTGAATACCCCAAATTCCAGGGACTGATGAGTGAAAACAAACCCCATAGATCAAAGTAGGTTGGACCGTTAACATCCAGAACGCTCTTGCTCACCGAGGAGGAGTCTGAATCCAGGGATGGCAGCTGGTCTTTGGCAGCCTTAAGGATGGCATCCCAGGGAGAAACTGGTAAGGACACCATAGCTTTTTCTTTGGAAGTCATGGGGCCAGGACTCAAAGGATGCTCTCTTTGAATGCCATCATCTGAGGAGCCCTGTGGAGCACACAGGGTGAGGTGGCAATGTCCAGGTGTCCGAGGACAAATGAGCACTGGTAGCTCTTCCAAAGCCTTGATCAGCTGAAGATGAAAATACAGCGGCAGAATTCCATTTTCCACCCATTTCCTTCTGGTTCTTCAAGCTTATGTTACTTGGTAGCAGGACTGTATGTGTGGGCGTGTACAATAATGAGTGCACAAGAGCATGGTGTCTGCTTATATATGTATGTGACGTGCTTAATAACAAATGCATATGAACACAGAGGTGCATATACTGATACAAATGATATATGTGTAGATATACAATACATAGGACACGAAGATATTATATATATATATATATATTATATATATCTTATATAACACAAACACTACTGTCTCCATTTCATATGCTTAGAGAGGTTGGTAAATGGCAAAAAAGAAGTTGAATCAAAGTTAAGGGAAGAGCTGGGTGTGCTGGTGCTGCCTTTAGTCCCAGCACTGGGGAGGCAGAGGCCAGCAGATCTCTGTGGGTTCCAGGCCAGTCTGGTCTACAAAGAGAGTCCAGGGCAGAGGAACCTTGAACCCTGTCTCGAAAAACCAAAAAGTTAAGGGCTGGCATGAACCATCTGATAGAGCATTTATCTAGCATATATATGAGCATGAGTCCAATCCCCAGCACTGAAAAAAGGGATGAGATGGTCCAGAAGTTACAAGTGTCCTTTACTGCTCTTGTAGAGGGCCAGGTTTCTTGGGGAGAGCCTGTCTCTGGTGTCCATTGGTACCGGTACTAGAGTACACATGCCCCCTTCACACACATACATATAACTAAAAATAAAATAAATCCTTAAAAGTTGGAGGTTTATGATCACGATCCATTATTCAGGTGGTTTTGTAAGTCATCATTGAGTTTCTACAATCCAGTCGTTGGCTCAGCCCCACCTTTCGAATCTCACCCTAAACAAAAGATGCTCAGCCCTCAGGGGACAAAGGGACTTTAGGACTGTGGGGTGACGACCTAGCAGACCAGGCAGATCAGCTAACGGTACCAGGGCAGCAGCAGGGAGTGCGGGGCTGCAGGCCTCCCAGTGTGGTCAGCAAGGACGTGTGCTCGGCGGTCCTGACTTGGGAGCCGCAGGTGGGGACGCTTTTGGTATACGCACCAGAGGATGGTTAATAACAGGAGCTTTGGCGGTAGGGCACAGAATGACGGAGGTGAAGGGGACACTCAAGACTCAGCATCCTTAGGTGCGCAAGGCGGTAGGGTGGAGGAAAGGCTTGGCCCGTCTAGGAAAGGGGACGTGCTAGCTCAGAGGAGCTCTGTTTCTCCGGTTAGCCCCGCCTCGCTCCGCCCCGCGCCAGGCGTCGTTGTCAAGGAAACTGGAAAGCAGCGGACAAGCCCGCTAAGGCAGAGGGACGGTCGCACTCCCTGGCACCCGCAGCCGGGGTCAACCCCTCGTCACCTAGCTTTCCGCGGCCTCCTACTCGCCTCCGGCCGCTCCGCTCGTCCACTTGCCCAGCCCCCGGGCTAAGCAAGGCCACTCGCCGCGGCCTGGCTACCCGTCCTGGTTGAGCCAGCCTCGCCTCTTCCTCTCTGGGCACCGCCCACCTCTGTGCCTCAGGATTGGCTCCTGAGCGAGGGGGCCGGTATCTGCCGTCTCATTGGCTGCTTTGGCGGTCACCAGCAGAACGTCCGTGCTCTTCCCGGGGTGCTCCGCGCCCTCCTACAATTCCTTCCGGGGTGGGCCGGGCGCAGGGCTGTTGGCCGGTGAGGGAGCGTGCAGCTGCTGCAGGAGGGTGGCGCGGGAACCCGAGGCCTTGCAGGTAGGCCGGGCCGCGGCGGGGCCCTCTGAGAGGCGGTGCCTGAGGCGCCCTGCGTCCGCCCCGGCGGCCAGCCCTGGCGCTTGTCTGTCGCAGGGTTTGGGGACGCGGGCCCGGCTCCTTGGTGCTAAACCGAGGAGTCAGGCGAGGTAGCCTGCCAGAGTGTCCAGCCTGCGGACACGGGAGCCTGCGGTCGTGCACGGTCGCCGGGACCCGCTGGGGCCGGACCCGCGTCGCACCTTTGGGTTATAGGGTCTCTCTCCAGGCCTTGACGGATCTCTTGAAGGAGTGACAGTTGTCATCAGGATAGCCTTCAAAAAAAAATTAAAGTTCTTTTTTTAAGAGTAACATATCAATGCTGCTACTGAAATTCTGGAAGCGAGGTGCAGAAGACATAGAAACACTTATTTTACTCGAATGGATTTTTTGGGGGTGCGAGGGCCGTGAGATAGGGGTTTCCCACTGTGTAGACCAGGCTGGCCTCGAATTCAGAGATCTGCCTCCCACGTGCTGAGATTAAAGGCTTGTGCCACTACGCTAGCGGGTTTTATGTTTTTTTGAGTAAGCATCTCTTGTATTCCCGGTTGGCCTTGAACTCAAAGGTAGTCTCCTGTCCCAGCCCCCAGGAGCTAGAATTACAGGCGTGAGCCCTTCCAGAGTTCTGCTAATCTGCCAGTGTTTCTGATTGTCCACTGTTGGTTCAGAGATTAGGTCTCACCTGTAAGGTTAGGCACTACTTGAGTTTAGGCTTTGCGGCCTGTGAAGCAGGTGGCTCCAGAATGCAGGCCTTGTTTTTCACCTCACCAGTGCACACACATACCATTTACCATATGACTGTCTCCTAGGTTAGTGATTTTTGTGGTGTTTTTTTTTTTTTTTTTTTTTTTTTTTGTGACAGGGTGTCTTTGTTGTAGCCTTGGCATCCTGGAACTCACTCTGTAGAGAAGGCTGGCCTTGAACTCAGAAAGCTCCACCTGCCTCTGCCTCTGCTGGGATTAAAGGCATGCTTTTATTATTATTTTTTAATGTATGAGTGCTCTATCTGCATGTACACCTGCAGGTTAGAAGAGGGCATCAGATCACATTATAGATGGTTGTGAGCCAACAGGTGGTTGTAGGGAATTGAACTCAGAATCTCTGGAAAAGCAGACAGTGCTGAGCAATCTCTCCGCCCTATCATTCTACTTTTTAAATGCTTTTATCTCACTAAGTTGCCTAGGCAGGCTTGTGATTTGACCCTCCTGCCTCTATCTGAAAGTTGTGCTGCCAGGCCCAACTTTGTCTCTTTTGGCAATCACCAATGCAGAAGAATGCTAAGGTGCTTAGGAGGCAGGAAGTTAGTACCTTCTGGGTACCTACTTCCTTCAGGCTTCCTTCTGGATTTGCCAGAGCTCTTGAGTATGGATATTGGTGCTCTGTATTCTTTGCGCTACTCCTGCAGTGTTCCTGGCCTCTGTGTGGATCCCAGGTGGGCTCAGGGCCAAAGCCTGGCCCTTCTGTTGTGCTGTTGGATCAGGTTGGGCCAGTTCCAACCTCAGAGTAATAACCTTGCCAGGACACTGTGATAAGGTCCTGGAGGATTCTGCCACTTGATGTCATTTGGGGTCACAGACATGGCCCCCACGGATGCTTAGTACCAGTGGCCATTTATCTAGGTGTAGTGGCACATGCCTTTGATCTCAGGAAAGACAGCCATATCTCTGAGCTCAAGTCCAGCCTGGTCTACAAATTGAGTTCTAGGCCACCCAGTGCTACACAGTGGGACCTTGTCTCAGAACAAAACAGTGGCCATTTACACAGGTTAGAGCAGAACATATAACTGAGACCCTACTTAGTGAAAACCGCCATTATCTCTTCTATTACCACCCACCTCATTTTGTAGCCACGCCAGGAGTTGGACTCAAGACTCAAGGCAGTATGCAGTGCTTTAGCACCTGGCCTGTATCCCAGAACCCTCCCTATCCTGTACTAGCTTCCTTTGCTCCTAGACTTAAGAATCTACTAGGAGGTTACTGGATAGGCTGTGGTTTGAGTAGGATTGCCCAGAATAAAGGACTCATAATCCTACACTTGTCATCCTTTGGTGTTCGTCTTTCCTGCTTAGAAGGGTTACACAGGTGGATTCCTACTCAGGTAACATAGTTGAACATCAGGGGTTGCATTCTGTAGTCTGCTGGGGGTTTTCTTTCCCCCTTGTTCTACTTTTCCCTTTCTTTCCTCCCCACTCCCTTTCTCATATTTTTTTTTTTTTTTTTTTTTGAGACAGGATTTCTCTGTATAGCTTTGGCTGTCCTGGACTCAATTTGTAGACCAGGCTGGCCTCAAACTCACTGCGATCTGCCTGCCCCTACCTCCCAAGTGCTGGGATAAAAGGCATGTGCCACCACAATGGGCTTTTTTTTTTTTTTTTCTTTTTCTGAGACAAATTCTTGCTATGTATCCTAGACTCTAGACTTAGTTTGTTTCTTTGTTTGATTTTTGAGACAGGTTTTCACTGGGTAGCCCTGGCTGTCCTGGAATTCACTTTGTAGACCAGGCTGGCCTGAACTCAAAGAGATCCAACTGCCTCTGCCCCCTGAGTCCTTAGGATTAAAGGCCACCACTGCCCCGAATTCCCAGGGTGGTCTTAAACTCACAATCCCGTTTCCACCTCCCAAGTGCCATGATTAAGTCAGGCTTTCCCACACATTGCTTTCTATGTGGTTTGTGGACATGCAAGTGCTCAGTCACTGCATTCTTGGCCTTTATGGGTTTTTGACTTTTAATTTTTTATTTTCGTTTTAAATTTTGTATGTATATGTGTATTTGTGTGTGGACATGCGTGGGAGTGTGTTGGATCCTCTGGAGCTAGAGTTCCAGGCAGTTGTGAGCTGCCATTTGGATGCTGGGAAATGACCTCAGGTTCCCTGTAAGATCAGTACACACTTTTAACTGCCAAGCCTTCTTTCTTGCCTGGTTTGTTTTAAGAAACTTAAAATTGTGTGTATGAATGTATCTTGGAGGGTGGTGTGTGCACACATGAGTGCAGATCCTCAAGGAAGCCACAGAGGAATGTTGGATCCTCCGGAGCTGTGGTTACAGGAGGTTGTAAGCAAGGGATTGAACTTGGGTCTCCTGTAAGAGCAGTCAGAGCTTTTAACCCATGAGCCATCTTTCCAGGTCCCATCCTTGCTTTTATTGAGAGAAGATCTGTGTGTATCTAGGCTGGCCTAAACTTGTTATGTACTCCAGGCTGCCGTTAAATTCATGATCATCCTGCCTCTTCCACCTTCTCATTACTGGGGTTACAGAGTTGTGCCACTGCACCCCACTTCCATGTGTTTGAAGCAGGGGCTCATTTGACATACATGTCCATTGCGGAGGAACTAGGGACTGGAGAAGCTAGGTTGCAGATTTTGCTCCATACCCAAACTCAGCAAGTAGGTTCTAAGGAACCCAACTCACTATTTTACTAGCAATGGAGAGGTCATCAGGCTAGAATCTGTGGTGTGAAGCAGGTGCAGCGGCACAGCTACTGGCTACATAGATGCTCCTGTCTTCTGTCTTGACGAAAGCTTGCCAGTGGTGGTGTGATGGCACTGCTGTTTGAAGAGAGCTAAGTCAGCCATGGTGGCTTCAATTTCTTAGGAACGAGGTGATGGCTTGCCATTGGTAGGAGTGTTTCATCTTTGAACAACCAAGGAAGAAGAACTAACCCCTGGGCCTCCCTCTGCAGCCATGTCTGAGCTCAGCGATGAAGCCAGCGAGCCGGAGCTCCTGAACCGCAGCTTGTCCATGTGGCATGGGCTCGGTGCACAGGTCAGCAGAGAGGAGCTGGATGTCCCCTTGGATCTTCACACAGCTGCCTCCATTGGCCAGTATGAGGTGGTGAAGGAGTGTGTGCAGCGGTAAGAGGTCTTGGGGAGCATCCCTTCACCTCATATTCTCATCAGCACCTAAGTGACTTCAGTTCCACAGGCTGGAGTCTCAAGATCTTTATACATATCAAGTAGGCACACCTGCCTGTGGCAGGTGTCATTGATGGCTCATGTTAGACGCTTAGAAAAAAAGGATCTTTTGATTCTGAGAAAAAAGATGCTTAAAACTTACATTGTGGCCTATGTTATAAACATTAATTTGTAGTTTACTTGAACCAGAGTCGTTTGGGGGTTTCTTCTGATTGTAGAAAAACCCAGAGAAAACAATGATAAGGCTGGAAAGCCAGCACTTTGGTCCTCTGCAGGTTCAATGTGGTTCTTTAGCGCTCTTTTTCCCTCTGGCACAGAGGTGAGAGGCTGGCTTCCTGTCTTCACTGCCCACCTGCCAGCTTTACCAATCTGCCTATGAGTAGTTCCACAGCCTGTCTCTTAGTCCACGTGGTGTGAACGTTTTGTTGGAGAAGGGTCTCTTCGCTTTCTTGTGCTCTACCACACTTTATCTTCAGTTTGCCAGTGCTTGTTTGGTACCTTGACCAGATGATCTTTCCCAGACCTCTCTGTCTTCTCAGTTCCTGATGTGCCAGAGCAGAGCCTCATGAAGCTCAGTCATCCATTGTCCTCGGCCAGTAGAGTGAGTGCTCTCAGCCTAGAGCAGATTGTAGAGCTCCTTCACCTAGTGGCCTCAGGGGTGGGCAGTGAGGTGTGGAGTCAGCATTTGTTCACAGGATCACAAGACTTCTGCTATAATTCTTTGGACTGTCAAGTTCTTACATGTTGAGTGTCCTGTTAAAAACATGGCCCCAGAGCAGCCCAAAGAGGAGAACTCTAGCTTTTTT